GCGATTCATCAAAGTCTTAGCCGTGAAAACACAATTCATTCTCATTTCCAAGCTGATCTTCTAGATGTGAAATTTAAGCATCATCGGCATACTCAACAAAGTTCATTTCATCATCAGAGAGAGGCAAGTCATGCAATAAGAAAGAAAACAGAAAAGGAGAAAGGACAGCACCTTGAGGGACACCAGGCTCACTAAGCAAAGAAGTGGATGACTTTCCCTGACACACAGTGTACTGCTTTCTTCCTGAGAAATAAGAATGCAGCGATTTGACAACCCAGCAGTCAGTTTGAGTTTCGGCAAGCTTGTTTAACAAAATGTCCCAGGGTTCTGAGTCGAAAGCAGATGTGTAATCTTGGAAGGTGCAGCGAACAAATTTAGCCCTCTTGTCTAAACTGGGGACAATGTTATGGTACGAGACTGCAACTTCATCTAGAGTACTTCTGCTGTGTTTAGGATCGTTAAAGGCTTTAAGTGAAGGTTGAAGATTAAGTAAGAGTAACGTTTCCATAGCTTTTAGAAAAGGAGACGTAATAGCAATAGGTCTTAATTTAAAACATGTTCCAGTAGACGACTTAGGGATAGGTACAATCTTGATGTCCTTCCAAACGGTTGGCACGGCATTCCTGGAAAAAGATTCATTAAATATGTCCATGAGGGGATAACACAGGATGTCTGCACATTTTTCAAGAATAACACTAGGCAAATTATCTGGGCCCAGGGTACAAGAATGGTTCAGAAACTGGAGACTTTTTTGAACATCATTTTTATTGAAATCAGGGAAGCAGGTTTCATTAACACTTGTAACACTAGAAAGTTTCGCATTTGTTGCAGAACATATGAAAGACTTGTTAAGTGTGCAAACATCAAAGGAAAAAGGAATACTATTCATCTGCTTACCACCAGTAATTTCTTTGAAAAGTTTCCATATATTAGACGCATTTTTACAGGATATAAACTTTTGGTTGTTAACTGAATTCAACCTGCGCATTTCAGATTTTATTAGGATGTTAATTCTTTTCAAACCAGTATTGTCCTTCATTTTATATCGCTTTTCTTTTTGTCTGCGAAGCTTTTTAAGTTGAGGGGAGGAGAAACGGTCAAATCTGATGAAGACCGTTTCTCTGGGACAATAGGTGTCAATACGAAATTCGAGATAACTTGTAATATTAGAGAGAGTGTCAACAAGAGAGTCTTCATTAAACAGGTCCCACCTTGTGTCTTTGAGCATGCCCCTAAGATTCTGAACATTCTCCAAAGAGTAACATACATGTACAGTTTTCTTGGAGAGCTGTGAAAAAGTTCTCTTGTCTAACTTTCCATAAATTTTGGTGAAACTTGTACAATGCAATAATCTGAGTTAAAGAGTGGTGCTCTTCTACGATCTTTTTTGATTACAGCTTGATTCCAAACTGTATTTTCGGTACAAGTATGGAATTTTCACCATGGATATCGATAGCCCAAAATTTGCAGGCCGACCACAGATATCAGGTGTGCGTCGGCAGGGAATCGAACCTCAAACCACGTGCATGGTGGGTGAGAGTCATAAGCACTATGCCACTGACGTATATACGCATACAACAAATTGAAGTTAACGCCTAGGTTTATGAACAAGCGTCAGTGAAGTAATGAGGAAAATGATTTAGGCTGTGTTACAACAGGAGTGGGAGCAAACACCCTGCACCCATTCCAAACAATTCAATTATACACAGAATTCAACTCTTGTGGTTTAAAAATCTTCCTGAAGATTCGAACGGAGAATTTAAAGAGAAGAGGGACAAGGCACTGAGCAGTGTAAAGTCTCCAGTGGCTCACTAGTACCTCCACACCACTGCTACATTCTCATCAGTGGAATTCCATCAATTCGAGATTATTATCAGGTCAGTGTATCCTCACAGAACTGTGCTTTTAGCTCTGGTCCCGAATCAACTTCAGAATACTGTGTTCTCCTTTCCTGAGCAAATTTCAATCTTTCCGATTCACAAAACGCACACCCAACAAATAAATTTGTACAATTCAGCGGTGTCTATTAACTATATCTTTCATCCAGGATTCCTTAGGCACACATGCAAGTGTCCAGGTGAACTGAATTGCATTGCTTTCAATACGACATGTGTTCTGAATGTTGTGTGTGTATTCACCCTTGTATAACAAGCTCTTTAATGGGTGGTCATTAGTTAATAATCTCCGTGAATAAGGCGTTAGTAATAGTCGACCTTTTGTGATACATTTCTCAGTAGGAAATTCTGTTGATGACACGCAGACATTCGCTCAGTCAGAAGGATCCCGTAGGGTAGATTTTTCCGAAGTCAGTGTTTTCACATGGAATTCATGTCATTCTTAATCCATGATGCGAATAAATCTCATTTGGAAATCTGACAGTAACAAAGCTATAGCCAGAGATAATCTATTTTAACATTAAACGAATAAAAGGAAATAACACTTTGTCGAATGTGTTGCTCATCATTCCCTGTCCATCTCGTCCATGTCCACTAAGTGACTTATATTCATGCATGACTTATTATGGAAATGTTTCCATAATGTTTTGTACCCTTTCAGTGTAAACGTGACCTAGTAAAATGTCTGGTTCATAGAGCTAGGTTAATCTGGTCAAACGACTACCTCAATGAGGAGCTTAATGTTATTAGACAATTATGTAGAAAAAATGGGTATCTAGATAAGTTCTTTGAAAAATGATGAATTCAGCATCTAAGAGAGTCAGTATGGCAACAGGTCCGGAGAATACACTGTTCATAAGACTGCAGTTCCTCCGTGACGCCATCAGTGAAAAAATAACACATTACCTGATTGATGCAGTGAAAATAGCTCATTATGCAGCAGAGGTAAGTTGTCTCCATACTACCACCCCTAATCCACTTTCGAGAAATAAGGATAAATTGCCTCCTCTGTGTGTACCTAGCAGCTAGACTCCAGCTGCGGAAGCAGCTACATCTGGTGAACAATTAAGGAGGTTCACCCAGGATGGTTAATCAAGAGAAAAACAAGATCTTTTCTTAGCTCTGTTTAAGCGCACCTTGCAAATGGTGAGCATATGATTGACGTTAATACGACATTTAAAATTATGTTTTGCGTTCACACTAATTCTAATTCAGCTTTACGAGTTCGTCTGCTACAAACAGCTGAAACCATAGGAATCCACCTGAGTAAGTCAAACCTGTGTGTTCAGAAGACATTCGTACAGCTGCTTTCTTTAACTTGGCCATCGCTACATGGATGTATAAACTGGACTACTTCGTCCCCTCCTGCTGAACTTTAAAAACCATAATTGTCCAATTATTTAATTATTTTCCTGACTGTTTCACCTGTATTTACACGTTATCACTGTCCAAATTTTTTTATTTGCTTTAATAATCCGAAACGTAATCAAAGTGATCACACGCTTATTCCAGAATTAAAAGTTAATCTGAACGAAAAATATTCTTTTCACTGATTTACATTCATATTCTTACAATTAGGGTATATAATATTTGTTGTCATTACAAAAATGACCAGTTATGCGGAGGATACATTTTTACGTAGAATAACAGATTAGTAGAGACAGCGATGACGATCTAATAGAAAAGCAAATATTCTACGCACAGTACTTTGTCTTAAAATGGGGCTGTCTAACCACCACGGTCTCAAAATATCACAATATTTGTTTCAAACATTTGACTATCTATTCGCGCATCAAACAATCAATATTTGAAAAGGCGAACGACATCAAACGATACTTCTACTGCCCTGTTGACGAAGATAACACAAATTATTATGCAGAGTTGATATCAGAATGGAAGACGACTCTGAGTATATTTCAGTGCAGAGAAACGAAAGTGAAAAACATACTTCAGTGCAATGACTGGTTACAAAATGAGTGCATGCTGAAATAAGTAGGAGAAATGTTAAAATATATAGAGGAATGAGTGTTTGTTATTGGATTATATCATCAGAATAGAGTTATGCATCAAATTAAATAAAGTGAATCTTCTCCACAGGTGTGAGACAATCAGTCTGTGAAAAGAATGTCAGAACGTATTCTACATGCAATGTCAGTGAATGTAGGGTATTCACAAAGAGAAATCAAAGATATATGCAGAATTTAACGCTGGATAACTTGACGACACTGGAGTTAAGCCGAAGTGATAAATTTCTCCATATCGAATTCCGTTGGTGTGTGTCTCACGCTTATCAAATAACCGTGCGCAGTCCATAGCGCCTGCAATTCCTCTTTATTGTAACAATGATTATACTCAGGTTGCAGTTGTTCACTAAGGTAACACAAGTGTGTTTTCACCATGCAAACTTTGTTTTTTATGCATTCTCGCTGGAAATCAGCGATATTCATATTTGCAGCATGTTGCATTGAGGACAAATCGAATTCGGGATCGGCAGTTGCTGTAGAGAGAATCAGAGAAATGCAGTGAATGTATTTGAGAGGAGGAAACAAAGCTAATCTACCATGAAATTCATATCATACAAACATACAAACAAATCATCACCTGAACAAAGTACGAAGTACAATGGATTGGTTAACATGTATGCAGGGCAACATTGGAAAATCAGCTACTGATTGCAAATTTGCATAGACAGATGTATGTAGAGTGATGAAATCAGTTCATCACGATATAAGTAAGCACCATGTTCGTCGATGTGGAAGAGGATTCATCACTAGCAAATGTCACTTTCAAATGTCTGATTAGTTGTTAACGACGACAACTCCAAGAACCCTGTCTTGCCTTTCTCTCAAACAACCACACCTACTTCGTATAAGGCGGTGAACAGACAGAAGAATCAACCAGCATAAAGCTGATCGGTCCTGAGTATCAATCAGATTGGTATGGAATACGTCGATAGAGAATTTACAGAAGAGTACAAGAATACACTGGCACTAGGATAGATATACACGAGTGTAGAAGGTGGACTAATTTCACTGCGTCTCTTCACTACGTACACTGATGTGAAAGTATGCTTGTCATATCTTCCTACGGTATGCACATACTGATTGATGACGACTGGACATCACGCATAACGCTAACATGCGGTAGGCTTGTTTCTTTTAGCTCAGCTGGCACATCGTCTCTCTACTCAACCCGCCGCTGCAGATTCAATTCACTCACCTATTCACACTCTCTTCATCTTCATCTTCAATAACCACTCACTCTCAATCAATCTGGCATATTCAACATATTCATAATATCTCAGTGGATCAATTTAATTCAGCAAAGTACATTGAACTCACGATTAAGAATATCACTTCTGGCTTTATTCGCACATATTTCGAAGCGTTTAAAGGGCTCACATGGCGTCTGTGTTTCAGTAGATTTGCATTCGTTGAAAAGACACAAGAGAACGGTCACCTGTGATAAAAAATACAAATATCGAAGGGAATATCATTCAGGACAATGACAGAACATACGCTGAAGCAGATGAATACACTTTTCAGAGATGCATTCATTTTCTCCGTTTCCTAGTATACACGACAATGTGAATATATTTCAGATATTATACGCCAGCTAACAGCATTCAGTTTGCATTTATATATATATATATATATATATATATAAATATAAATGTCTGGGTATCTATGAGAACACAAAACAAGGGGTCAAATCCACGTAGATATAAACTGATACACTGAATTATTCTTATTGCTAATTAATCAGCAAATTCCTTCTGTAGTAATTATGTGAGTATTATTTCTCCAGATAATTAGGTATCAGATAAATTCTCGGTGCAAGTAATCGATAAGCATTATTGTTAGATAGACTGAAAACGTTTCTGATACCTAATTAGTTAGAAGCAGAAAGTAAAATATGTATGTAAGAGAAATAATACTCATATAATTACTACAGAAGAAATTCGCTGAATTACAAAGAATAAGAAGAATTCAGTGTATCAGCAGATATCTACGTGGATTTGACCTGCTTGTCTTGTGTCCTCAAAGATACACCGACATTTATATCTTTACGCAAACTGAGTATTGTCTCCTGGCGTATAACATCTGAAGTATATTTGCACTTTTGTGTGTATTTGAAACAGAGAGAATGTCGGCATCTTTGAAGTGTGTATTCATTTGCTTGAGCGTATCTACTACTAGAAGTGTGTTTAGTAGTACTACAACTCGCATTATTGTCAGTGTGAGTCTCCTGAGACTCTTTCCACAACCCTCACTTCCTATCTCTATGTCTGAAATTCGAAATATTAGAGAATATTCGTAGGTTAGGGAGATGCCTCCAATAGTGTAATTTTGTCTGAAATTGTTTTTGTGGCGGTGTGGATTTCAATGACCTACCAAACAGCGTCTCCGAAATTAGTTGAGGCATTTCCTTCTCTTGAACTGTGGCATAGTTAGGTGTTGTGTTCTCATCTTTGGTAAAACCAACACAGAATCGGTGAGTGATTCCTCAGCATTCAGTCGTCATGACTGACTTCATGCAGCTGAACATTGAGAAAAATGTTCTTTATTCTCTTGTGCTTACTTTGCTGATGGTATTTCATAGATATTAGGACTCATTCAATGAGGTGTGATGTTAGACGTGCTTGGGACGTGCTGTTCTGTACTACTGATCGGTTGACATAGATAGTTGGATGACACTGACAACAAGCTGTAGCTCTTGCTAGTCACATCGAAACCGCTCAGTTTCCAAACAACGATCCCGCTTATTTCATGCGTTTTTTGGAATGGTGTTCGTGGTTTATTTCAGCTCAAAGAACCTCATAAACTCCGACTACTCGAATTCTGGCTAGCTATTGGATTCAGCCAGGACTGCAGCTTTTGCTAAGAAAGCAACCCGTTGCTTCGCCTCTTTGCATCTACATCCTAATTCATGGTATGGCTATGATTTCAAATTCTCTCACCTTCGTCAAGCTGATGAATCAGATGAATTGCTTTACATCGCTTCATTTATCGAATTAATTTTAGAACAACAAGGAATTACACATGAATTCAGAGTATACAGAAGTGCTGTGTTTTTCAAAAATGACTTTCACATATGATTCATCAGTGTCTGCTGAGATATCTTCATCGGGTGTTCATCCAACTTGAAGTTTTAAGTCATAAGGCGGAATGGGTCCTTCTGAATGTATCCGTCAACTACTAGTTCGCATGGCATCCAAACACCAATTATTTCTCCACATTCTACAAATTCCCTTTACTTCAAATTACTCCATTTATTTCAAGTCTTTGTGTTTCCACATTTCACTTTTTATATTACTGTGTGTGTGAATATAAAGTACAGTGGATAACTCTATTGATATTCATGTCAGTGAAGTAGGTCAGCATCGCCATCGACTGAATTAGTGTTTCTTGTGGTTAATCATGTTCATTTAGAAGCTGATATGAAGTTCCGTTTCGTTTCCGTTCATTGCTTTTGTCTGTAGACTACAGAGTGATGAAAATAATTCGTGATGTATCGACATCTATCTCAGTTTACTTCAGTGAAATGTTTATCCTGAATGCCTAACTGTCAAGCAGACTGACAAACACAGTGGGTAGATTTAAGTGGCTTCTTTAGCAACAAGAACGTTTTTCACGATGAGACATTCATAGGGCAACTAGGACTGTGGAATCGTTTTGAATACGAATTCACAATGTTGGTGAAGTCTTATCCTTCTTAGTTACACTTTAGTCGGAGACTTCACTGATAAGATTCGCGAGTCTGAAGAAGGATTAAATCTTTAAAGATCAGAAAGGAGAGAAGTCGAAATTTCGACGATGATCTAACTCTAAATATCACTTGCATACTAATAAAGTGATGGCTGATTTCTCTAACAGGATTCGATCTCCCTGTGAAGTGTCACTCCGTTGAAAGTGGTTAGTTTTAATCTCCGTAAGAGGTGATTACGAGCTTTCGTGATATATCCAGCTATCAAGTCCTCATCCAATTGCAAGACACCTGAAGTGACGAATGTGATAACAGTCAAAGTGTTGGCCTCACTACTAAATCTGAAGTGGAAAGGGAACAACATGCACTAGCACAAGCACAGAAATGTAGATCATTTGTCATTACAAGAGCAGCCAAAGGCAATACCACTGTTATTATGATTCATGTAGATTACGAGATAGAAGCTATAGAACACCTAACACTGGACCCTACAAAAATGTCAGGCTTATAACGTCAAGGGATACTTTGATTGAATTAACGCTTGAGACAAGCATAATGTTGAAGTCAACAAATATTTTTATATTTATTTTTTCTAATACTCCTTTTAAATGTTCGATGAAATTATATGCAATATTGTAGATATGCGCTGAAAATTCCACACTGTACCACAAGTACTGTTTCTGGAATAAAAGCGAAATTATTGTTATTATGATGACGAGAAACTCAGAGTATTCTTTTTATTTCAACCAACACCAAACGCTTTCACTGCGAGTAGGTTTAATGGACTACCACATGCTATCGAAGCCTTTGTTCCATCAACTCCAGTTGTGGACTTCACTCATTCTCCAACACATGACAATTTTAGTTTTGTTTCACGACTAGTGAAATCTTATGAAATGAAGGTGGAATATGAATTTGAGAACTTGTACGCATTCAAGAAGACCATTTCCTCAGCCTGGATTCAAAAACACGAAGTGATAGCAATTTTTTGTACTGACGAGTGGTTCAATCAAAGATTTTTAAAGTATGTTATATAACTCACTAATTTCGTTTAGTGAACCAAGCGTTCCATCGCCTTTGGATTCAGATGAAATTTAGAGAGCATTAGAACTGTGTTCACGCTCCACATTGCTTATATTTAGGAGAGTTGTCGTCAGTCGTACAAAACGTATTGTTATGGGATAACCACCATCGCCTTCAGCAGCCAGTCTGTTAACACACTCATTAGAATCAAAAGAGACCATCATTTGAGGCAACCTGTTACGATGTTGGTCTTCCCATACTTCCATCCACATATTGTATCCAGTTCATCCTGTTTTATTTGTATATATCCATCGAAGTGTGACGTGAGTTTGCACTGTTTACTCTCGTGAATTCATAGATTGTTTAGAAACAGATGAATTCTACATTTCTCACCTGACTAAAGAAAAGCATCATGGTTTGTGGCAATGTGGACTAAATTTCACACCTTTATATCGTTTTACGTAGCCGGTTATCATTAGTACAAACTGCCGTTCTCTTCCTGACCAGGTTGTGCAACACAATGTCTTTTATCCCCTATACTCACCCCAATAAGGTGATAATCACGCTACAAAAAATGTGACTTCATGAGATTTATGGTGAAAATTTGGTCTCACCAAGTGGTTTCACATTTTTCATACAAGATTGTCTGTGTTCCGAAGAGAAATATGGCGGTATGATTGCAGCTTTCCTTCATTACCAGCGATAGCTTTCAAACAATATATGTTCTTCATTCGCTAGCGACTTTATTGATTGTATTACAGTCGAATG